AAGAAATTTGCACCTGTTGCCTGTTGTCCTGTGCATCCTTCTGAAGAGAACACCTCCATCTTCTCTATAACTATCTGTTAGGGATTGGAAAACTGTGATTAGATCCTCCCCTGAGCCTTCTCTTCTCTGGGCTGAACACACCCAGTTTCTTGAAGCTTCTGTCAAGATCTCCAGACCTCTAATGATCTTCAGGTCCTCTGCTAGACCCTCTCCCTTTTTTTCAGTTTTTGTCATGAACTGGGAGGGTCAGAACTGGACACAATATTCCAGGTGTGTCCTAACAAATGTCAAGTAGAGTGGAACTCCTTGATCTGCTGACTATACCCATACCAATGCAACCCTGGGCTCATTCCGCCTTCATTGCTACAAAGGCACTGCTCGCTCAAGTTTAGTGCTGTCCGTGAGAATCCCCAGGTCCTTTTCAGCAAAGCTACAACCCAACTAGTCAGAGCCCATCCAGCTTGTACTGCTGCTTGGGATTATTCTCTCTCATGTGCAAGACATTACATTTATGCAATCTTTGTTGGCCCTGTCTTCTAGCTTGTGAAGGCCTCTCTGCATGGTGGCTATTCCTTCTGGTGTATAGTACCCCTCCTCCCAGTTTGGTATGATCCATAAACTTGGTAAGCAAGCATTCAGTTCTGTCATCCACATCCTTTATAAAGATGTTGAACAGTATCAAACCCAATACCAACCTCTAGGAACTCCCTTTGTGACCAGTTGCCCATGAGCCAGTAAAAGCATATTAGTCTTACCGTAAAAGTTCAAGCCATAACATTTATGTAAGATTTTGAAAAGCATAGTTTATGTAAGCAGCTTGGTAAATCAGATTATTTCAACTGTCACCAGGATCAGTAGGCATTATCCCTCTGATTTCTACATTGTTTCCCTGAAATTATGGACCAGATGTGTCTTCAGAAACTGTCACATTGCAGCTAGGAAGGTCCTAATGAGTTGTACATGGAGAAATGCTAAATCTGCGTGAGGAAAAGAGCTATTAAGAATGGCCATTCAGCTGTTAGGAGATACTATTCAACAGTTTTCTATTGTGAGAAAAATATCTTCTGTATGAAAAGTAAAGAAGAGGTAAACCTGACTTTATTTCCTGGAGAACTTGACTGTCCTAAAGATTTCGAGACAGCTTCTTATTGTGGATACTCTGTTCCAGAATTTAATTGCTGCTCTTTTATCACTTTTTTATAGTAATTA